GTCAGTCATTCACTATGACTTTCAGTCATTCACTATAGCTGTCAGTCATTCACTATTCATTGATGTGAACTGTCCTAAGCTGCTCCTGTTCTCCACATTTCATTTTATGTATGCTAAAAATAGTTTGATATATATATACATATATATATATATGTATATATGTATATATATAAATTCAAGGATATATTTGTTCTAAAAATGTTATAGTGACAGAAAGACACAATCAGATTGAGGACAAAATAAAAATCGACTTTTTCTTATATTTTTAAAAGTTATATTAAATGGTCCCTATTTAAAACCCCAGTTGCCTAAATCATATCGCAGTGTGAACCACTGGCATCTTGACACGAAACACTTGGAGGAGGCAAAGGTGGGGGCCGCCAGCTCCTTCCTTTGTTTCCTTTAGGCCAAGGCGTTTTCTCACTTTATGCTTTCCACCTTACCTTTGGCTTCAGCACTCCTGTGATTTCAAACAGGAGGCTTACATGGATGCCATGCAGGATGGGCTCTAAACTGCTAAGCTGGTCACACGGAGGCATTCAGGTCAAGCAAGGAAATTGCTCTATCTCATCTCTGTACAATACAGATTTGGCCTGTTTGAATTTGTTGTAAAATAATGTGATGATTCATAGTTAAAGGTCCATGTCCTGTAACAATGGGAAAGCAGCATAAATGAAGGGCATTGTTTGCCTCCTGTTTATCACCAGAGAGTTGGCTCTGTAGTTGAGAGCATTTACTGCTCTTTCAGAGGACCTGGGTTGGTTCTCAGCCAAACCCAAGTTTAGTGTGTGCTTTCGGTGGGCGAGAACACCTGTTTTTCTGTATATAAAAACTCCTATGATTGTTGTCCCCAAATTCCGAACCCCAAAACCACCGAGACCCATTTTGATGCAAAAGAAAAGAGTCTTTTATTATTTAATGAGTTAACTCCATTAATTAGGGCCCTTCATCCATTCCACAAGGCATGTGGATTGAGAAGGACCCGGAGAAACCATGGGGCAGAAATTTATAGGGGTGTGCAAGGGGAGTGTCTAGGGGGTATGCAAGAGTCTCAGGCCTCGGGCGACCTGTCCTGTGTTGATTGGTCAACTGGTTGCTATGGCCAATAGGCCCTCCCAGGGCGAATGCTGTAACAGTAACTTACTTACAGTAAAGCACTGCAAAGCACATCCAGAGCCCACCAGCTAATTTCTGATTGGTTCCTTACCAGGTGGAGGTTATCTGAGCTGCTAGTGACTAGGGAAGCTTTTGCAAGGTCAGGCAAGCACTTGTTTGTGCAGCCTGTCATGGCTGCTAAAGCAGAGGCCTGGGTGAGGGTCTGGCCCCTTCAGTGATGTCATTGGGAAATGAATGAACTTTCAAAGATTTCAAATTTATTTAAAATCATAGCAGAAAGCCAATAGCAAAGGTGTTTTTTGACCTCTAGTTACAGATATTAAAGCTCACAGCTGCAACAATGGAGAGAGAGTCCAGCACAGCCACCCACAGCCAGCCGGAAGAGTCCCTGCCCCTTGCCCCTTAGGGACATCCACTCAGATAAAGCCGGTCCTGACTACACTGTAGAAAGGAATTCCAGACAGAGCTGGCTTATTACCAAGAGCTTTAAAGAATAACCACAATCTAAAAATTGTAGTTTTAAAAATAATCAGGAACAAACAGGTCGGCTTCCTTAATGATTTTCTTTATCTTAGAAGAACTTCTCTTTATACATAAAGTTATAATGTGGTTTTATAAAGTGTGCTATTTATGACCTATGATTAGAGTAGAGAACTGATGGAAATAAGCTCAAGGCTCTGAGCATCTGGGCCCAAGTGAGCACAGCCGGTGTCTAATGTCCTTGCGTGGGATGTCCTTCACAAAGCAAGAGCTATCTCTGCAGGCAAACCTGTGCCATTGTGTTGACGGTCCAGAGAGCCCGCCAGATCTCAGAGTGAGTCTAGTCCTTCCCGTGTCATGTCGGTTTTCTATGTCCTACTATCCTGCCTCACTCCAAATGACTTCTGCATCCATTATCCAGATGACTACTGTCATTCTTACTTCAGGGCTGGGGTGACCATCTCTTCCCTCTGATGACAGGAAGAAGGGATTCCTCTCACAGCAGCAGTGGCTCAGATGAACCAGATGGCTCCTCAGCTGAGAGACCCCTGTGTGCTTTATTAGATGCATTAAGGCATACTAGCCACAGGGCTTTTCTTTGCAACTTAAACACTGAGCAAATCCAGACATCCAGGGATGCCAAAATGAAAAGGATCTGTCTCCTCTTGCGCTGCCATTTGCCAAGTGAACGCTTGTCAGGCAGCACTTTCTATATATTTCAAGGAGACAAAGTCTCCCTTAATGTGTTGGCAAAGGCTGTCACAGAGCGCTCTGCAATCCTTGGCTTAAGTGACAGCTCACAATGAGGGCGCTGGTTTGCCTTAACAATTGCAAACTTTTTCTGCTTCTTTTCTCTTTTGCATTTCCCCTTTGTACTGCACAATACAAAGGAGATTCTGTTGACACTGATAAGCAGCCAGCCTGACAAACACCACTCTTCATTGTGATAACCAATATTTCAGACTCTCTAAGGGGTCTGTCCTTGATAAAGCACCATCAAAAATTCTTTTCTTATGGGGCTCCTGCCAATCACCTCCAGTTAACTCACTAATTGTGAGTGTCTTCCATTCCCTTGAGAGTAAGCAATTTATGTGCTTGATAACTTGTGGGGATTCTCTGTTCATTGGACATTTTTACTGAATATAAGAAAGTACATTCTTATATATTTTCTCCCCAGGATCCTCATGGAATCATTCATTTCTCTGCAATGACTCGTCTATTTGGGGAAACTTTCCCTTATTTTTCATTCTCTGCTTGGTCTTGCTATTTACAATTCCAAATTATGACAAGTCCCTTCCCACCCTTCCGTGTGATTGTCAGATTTCTGGTTTATAGGCAGACACAGTACGCCGGCAGCTGCCATCAAATGGCTCCCCATACACAGCTTTCTGTGAAGAAAGTCTCTGAGATCAGACAATCTTCTCTAGATTAATTCCAAGTGCAGGCATGCTGTCCCTCTGTTCTTATCCTGTGAGAATTTTGATGGATCTGTCACAGGCTTGCCCGCCTTCTTTTCAGACTGCTTCTCAAAAAAAACCTTAAGTGTGCCTTTCATGTAACACCCCTGGGAGAGGGCAGCAGCCTCCTGCGCATGGAGAACAATCTCTCTCTCTCTCTCTCTCTCTCTCTCTCTCTCTCTCTCTCTCTCCTTCTCCCTCCCTCTCCCCAGCCCCCCTCTCTCACATACACACACACAAACACACACACTTTGGTATGGATTTCAAGAAAAAAAGGTATATATATATATATATATATATATATATATATATATATATATATTCCTTTGTATGACTAGGAATTCTGATTAGATTGAGAGTCTGGGATCATGGTAGATCAGCTCTGGGCTGGAAGGTCTAGTGGCACATACGTTAAGGATGCCACCTGTGTTTTAAATTCAAGAAGAGAAAGAACTCCTGTGCCCACTAATAAAGTGTCACGTTTTGGTTTGAGTTAGAAAAATGCATCTGAATGTCTGGTTGAATTCTGGGAGTCTTCTGGAATTTATTCTGGAGGATCTAGGGCTTAATTCTCATTATGTTAACAGTGAGACCTTCATTGTTTTTTAAAGAAAAAAAAATAGTTGCTTTCAGCAAGAATATTAAAGGATTAGAAAGAAAAGTGTTGTATCTGAGTTCTAATATGTATACCTGTTTACAATTATGAAGTGAAGCTTTTATTATCTTGTCATTTATATAAGAACAATCCTGTGTCAAATAATAATAATATTAATAAAGGAGGAGAGCTACTGAGGGAAGGCATTAAATGTTGAACTCTGGTTTCCTCATGTGCATGCACATGTACACACCCACAGAAATAAGTACATACATAAACACACATGTTCACACATACACACATCACAACTACAATGAGCACCACCATCACCAGCACTACAACCAGCACCCCACATACACAAAATACACACACACACACACACACACACAAATAAACTACAGCATTTTAACTCATGTATCAATATATATTTTTACTGGCTTAAAAAAGTTCAGTTTACATTCTTGTGCCAAAGTATAATCAAAATTTTCAAAAAAAGACAAACTAGTCAAATTAAGCCAAAATAATTTTTTAAAGTTATAGAACTCATAACCATGATCCTTGGATAATTTGTTAGGTTTTGTTGCATCTTTATGCACTCAAGAAGCCCAAGTGTGGGCTGTATTATTTCCCACAGTCATAGGTTATATTTGGGATAAGCAAGAATTGTTTATGTAAATCACAAATAAATGGAGTGAGCCATCATAGAAGATGGTCCAGCGGGTAGAAGTGGCTACCACCAAGCCTGACAACTGGAGTTCATTCCCAGGGTCCTGTATGGTAGAAGAGAGAACCAATTCTTGCATGGTGTGCCTTGACCTCTATGCACATGCTGTAGTATGTATATTGTGTGCACGCACACGCACGCGCGCACACACACACACACTATATCCTAAACAACAAAAATAAATAAATATTAAAAAATGAACAAACTGAAAGTTTTACTCAATATCAAAAAAATAGATAATTTCTATTGATGTTCCCAATTTTTAATCAAAGAAATTTACCACAACAGGAGAATAGATGCATATTTCTTTGAGGAGACCCTATATTAGATGTTGGAGAGGTAAATGGAAGTGTCTAAAACATACACTACACATTAGTCACGACGTCATTGGATGTGTTCACATAGGGCCAGAATGACACAAGCAGGCAAGGGCATTGCTGAAGCCACATATACACAGATGAACAGAATGACACAGGTAGGCTTCAGACCATCAAGTCTGAATTTATTCACTGTTTTCCATGAAAAGCAAACTCACCAAAGGTTAACACTGTATTTGCTTTGGGGGCGGGGGGAATGTTTCCTTCCTCATTTCCTTCCATTTCAGATGGACAATTTTATGTGTTTTTAGGGTGCTGTGATCACACCCACCATGGACCACCCCATGTCAATGCAGCCAGCAAACATCGTGGGCCCGCTAACACAGCAGATGAACCATCTTTCCCTGGGGACAGCAGGAACGGTGAGTGGAGGAGTTTGATTTCGTTTCCTGGGACTTGAGAAGGTGCCGCGTGCTGATCTCGTTGGCATTGCTAATAAGCTACTCTGCTCACACATGTTCCAGGTTCCAGCATGAACAGGCCTGCGTGCGAGTTCAATCCCAGGGAACACACATTCACATGGGAAAGGACGAGGGTCCTGGGGCATTGCCTTTAGACTTCACGTCCTCCTCGCTATGTGGTGCAGGCCACCAAGTATACCAAGTGCAACATAGCTCTTTCTGGAAATTCTGTCCACAGATGTAGATCAATACTTCGTGACCATGAGCACGGGCTGCTTTCCTTTTCCCAGAAGTTTACCACCCAATCCATTGCCATGCCCAGGTCCTTCACACCCAACAGGCCAGTTCTAACTAAGATTAGTATAGAGGACTTTTTATTCACTGCAGATGTCTGGAGTAATAGGAAGTCACCGAGAAGTTGGCCCATTTGAGAGCTTTTTTTTTTTTTTTTTTTTTTTTTTTTTTTTTATCTTTCCTGGGCATACACTGGCATGCTTACTATTGAAGAGGAAAAGGGGAATCTGATGCGTTTAGTATTTTCTTACAGTTATGATTTTTTTTTAAAAACTAGACTTACTTCTTAAAAGTGTGTTGTTCTCATTTGCTTCTCTGTTGCTGTGGCAAAACCAGGACCAGAAGCAACACAGAGAGGAAAGGGTTTCTTTCGTTCACTGCTTATACTGCATCGCCAAGGGAAGCTAGGCCAGGAGCTCAAGGCAGGAACCTGGAGACAGGAATGGATGCAGAGACCACAGGAGAACAATGCTTACTGACTTGCTCAGCTAACTTTCTTATATAGCCCAGATTCATATGTCTAGAGAATGGTACAGCCCACAGTGGGCTGGATCCTTCTACATTGATTAGCAAGTAAGAAAATGTCCTGAAGACAAACTTACAGGCAGTGTCTGATGGAGGTAATCTCTCAATCGGTTTCCTCTGCCCACTTCCCATAGGTGTCAAGTTGACAGCGATGATCAGTTGTCACATGAACTGAAAAAACGCCAGGAGTGATCTTCAACAACATGCTTGAACTCACTGGCAAAGCTTTTTTGAAAAGGCAGTTCCATCTAACATTCATGTCTGACAAACGCTAGACACTGTCCCTCTGTTCCAAATCATCAGAGAAAATGCAGGAACACTTTATTGTTTGGTGTACACATTCATGCAAGTGATCTTGTCCTTGTAAAGACATGGAAAAGAAAAGCATAATTTCTTTTAACGGAGGCAGCTCAAACAGTGTAGAAAGACCCCAGGAGTAGGAGTGCGGAAATTTCTATCTAAATCTGAATTGTTCCATTGAGGACACGATACCTAAAGACCTCTGTTCTTACAGTGAGATCATGCAGTCTGAGCACTTTAAGCTACACAACATTGTGCCATTAAGCCTATGCATCTCTTTGATACTGCCTACCTCCGTGACTCCCACAGAGGTACTGGCATCGTGTGTCGCTACCCATATGCTTTATGTCCACGAGCTGTGGACGGAGGCCTCAGAACAAATATTCCTGATACTCAAAGGAAATAGAAAAAATAATGATCAGTGATCCTCTCTAAATGTTGAGAAAAATCACAGGTTTCAAAGAGAGAATTTAGTTTTTTTATGAGCTACACACCTGTTCCCCTGTAATGCACCACTGTTGATAACTTCTCTTCCCCAGAGTCAGAGGTTCTCAGCTGGATTTCAGAGGCCAGGTCTGTGGCCACATTTAACTTCACCATGGCTCAGATCATTTTCATCAGGGGTTTCAGAATATTTTTACTTTTTTTTTTTTTTTTTTTTTTTTTTTTGTTAGTCAAGTCTAAGGATGATCTGTAGTCCCTTTGTATGACATCCCCACGGTAGATGTCATTACGGATCAGGTTTTTTAGCCACCAATGACTGTCAACTTAGAATGAGTAAGAATAAAGGCAACATCACAGTGTTAAACAACAAAGTGTGAATTTTATGTGTAACAAGTGATTTATAATAGAAAACACGTAAAGAAACACTTTGTACATTTTACCTGTTTGACTAACGTCAAAGCCAGCTTCATTGCTAACATTTCTATTTGCCATCTTGCAAAGACACACTCTGTAACTGTATCCTTTAAGAAACAGAAAACATAAACTGAAAAGATATAGAATATGCTTCAATTTATTGTAGTTACTACTTAAGTAAACAATATAAAATTACATACCTCAGACTTTTCAAAAGGAATAGACTCATATGGGGACCACAACTTTTACCTAGCTGGCAATGGCCAGAAATGATAATCCAATGATTATCACTTAATTTAATGATGTGGACCACTGCCTCTCATAGAAGTAAAGGATTTTAGTACATGGAGTTTATTTTTAATATCAAATCCCCTCTTGTGTTTTCTTCTTGCCATTGTGTGATTTCATTATTGAAATAAATAGTGCTTAGTTACAGTATAAGCATCATACGGCATTAATCATTGGCTATATAACAATCAACGTTGACAATTTGATAAGGTTTTGGAGAGGCAGAGAGAAGATACCATATTTTGTTGAGTTACTCAAAAATACAATTGAGTTTGCTTAGTGTATCAAATGTAGTCATTTATTTTTTGTTAAACAATCTCTCTCATACTTTGGCATGCTATCAAATATTTGCTTTTATGTGACTTTTTTTATTTGACATTTGCTGTGAATTGCCAAATTAGGGTTGATTTATTTAATTGCTTTTTCCCCACCTACCTGGATCCATCTTACATCTCTCATGCTGGCACTGTGGAAAGTCCAGTAGATTTAAGAATGACCTCAGAGTTCCAAGCATGGTCTGGCTTTGTATTGGCTATGCATGTTGACCTCAGAGTCCCAAGCATGGTCTGGCTTTGTATTGGCTGTACGTGTTTAGACCATGTTCCTTAGCCTCTCCTAAGGATTTCACTTCTTTTCTTATAAACTGGGAACAGTAATAACATGTACAGCCCTCGGATGCTGCAAGTGTTAAATGACATGGCACACAGCAGACCTAATGTAATATAGGTAACACGTTGGCACTTGTCAAGTAAGCCACCCTTAACCTCTGATGGGGTCTACCTGGTGGGAGTTCAGGTTGCCAGAATAGATGTACCACCATATTAAATCCACAGTCCAAGTCCTTTGCTTGCTCTGTTTCAAGGGGCATAGCTGAATTCCTTAGCATGTCTACTGTGTTAACTGCTAGCATAATATTTCAAGGTTCCATAGCTAAGCTCCTATCCATCTGATTGAATGAACTTGCTGAAGTTCAAGCCAATACCTTGAATATGTGGAATCAAGTATTCTCAGTATTTCTGACGTTTTAAGCAAAATCACATTATAATAATATACGTGGTGCTGAAATTACAATCTAGAAGGGTTTCCACATTAATGTAATGCCTCTGCCTGAGTGTTAGACACCCAATGGGCAGAGACAGTACTCTCAGTAGCCAGGAATATGAGAATCTTGCATAGAGAGTAGGACCATGCCCCATTTGCCATCATCCACTGCCCCCTGGGTACATAGACCCAGGGTGGTCTCAGTGCCCAATTCTTTTTAATACAAACGGACTGCATTTTGATGTGAAATACCCATGTCTTCAGATATCTGTCCCCGCTTGTCCAGTGGCCTTCCAGTTTGCGCCTGGTCCTCTACACTTTCTCTCTGGCCTTCCCTCCACCCTTCCTTTTGCAAGCTCAGACAGCACCTCACTGTTCAATTTTCCATACTCCCCTTCAGCAGTCTTCTCCACCCTTCTGGTTTCCAACCCCGTTGCCCACATTGAAGACTCTTAAATCTGGGTCCTCAATGCTAGTCTTAGGACATCAAACTCTTCTGTCTGGTCTCCCTCTTCAACATCTCAAAGTCAGCCCAACCCATGTGCACGTCATGAACTTCCTTGAGCTTCTTTCCAGCCACACCCTTCCCCTTTCTGTGTTCCTGGCCCCTTTCATTTCAAGTTACTACTGTGATGACCCACCCAGCAGCCAGACCCCACACTTGGGGCTCAGGACTCACACTGTCCTTCTTCCTCTCTTCCATTCACAGTTGCTTTTAAGGTCCCATGAACTAAGTCATAGACATTCATCAGATCCGCCCTCTCTTCCCCATTCCCTGCCTCCACCCCCAGCTTCATTTGGCTCCTTGTAGAAGTCTCCTAACTGGACTTCCTGCTTTAGTCTCTTTGTTCAACGATCCATTGTCCACCCTGCCATCTAAACTACGTGTTAGTCACTGTGTGTTGTTGTCATAAAACCTCACAATCAAGACCAACTTATAGAAGGCAGAGATTTTGGGGGTGCTTAGAGCAAAGAAGGAGTCCATAATGCCAAGGAAGGTACAGGCACATGGGAGCGAGAACAGTCTTGTGACATTCTTGTCTCTCAGGAAGTTCAGAGAGAGAGAACAAGAACTATGTTGAAGCTATAAATGCTCAGTGCCTACCCCCCCCCCGCCCCCAGTAGTGTACATCCTCCTGGGAGGTTCTGTGTCTGGAAGTTCCAAAACACCAATTGGGAACCGCACGCTCATCTACACGAGTCTATGGAAGACATTTATCGTTAAGCCCTACATAGCTCGATACCAGTGTCCCTCCCCCACCTGCCAGTCTTCAGTGACTTTCAGAAATTTGAGCTCTTGGAAATTTTGCAAAACAAATAGCACCAACAAAAAACAGTAGCAGCAGACGGGCTCCTAGAGCCTAGTGCAGTGAAGTTTGGGGGCTAATTCAGTGTAGGCAGTGGTCAGGTTGGAGAGCAGGAGAGTTAGAGAAGAATTTTCCTTTTTTAGAAGGCACTAACTAAGGTCACTAAGTACCCCGCTCTCCTTTTTAAGATTCTTGACAAAAGGAATTATGTTGAACCAAAAACATGCTTTTAGCTTCAAAAAGGCAGATATATTTCATCTTTTACCACTGCAGATTTTGAAATGGGTGTCATGTAGCTTAAAGAATTTCCATCTGGAAATTTCCTCTTCGAAATGTGTCAGTCAATTCTCTACCTATTTCTAAGCTGACTGAATCTGTGGGCTTCAAGCTAAATGAATTTGCTGCAAACACGATGCCTATTTTATTTCATGGCTCTAACCTCGAAGAACTTTTCTGGCTTTCCCTGCATTTGTTTGTTCTTTCTCACAGAATTCCTCTGATAAAACAAAGCCCCATTATCCATAATTTCTTATCAAGTTACTGGGAGCTTTAGCAGAAGCCCCCTGCCCCCTTGGGGGGGGGGGCTTGAGTGTGTTCTAAGAGCCTCTACAGTGCATGACAATCTTGTTTTACAACTTCCTTATCTCCTTTTCGTTTGTTCAGCGGCTGGTCACCAGTGGCTTACAATGCCACCAGGCTCTGCTGAGAGGAATAAAAAGATTCTGTTAGGCAGGCTTCTTATCTGCAGTTGAGTTTGCCTTCCCCAAGCCATTGCTGAATTGTGACATCATTGGATTTCCGTGGTGTAATTATTGCCACTCACAAAAGCAATCCTGGAATTGTCGTTCTGACTGGCCAGAGTTCCCTGTCACCCTTCAGGCAACCCACTTCTCCACTACTCTAAAAACCTGTCATCAGCAGAAGAAAATGTGTTTTGTTTGCCTTTTTCCATCATCAGGCATAAATATCAGTATTAAGATGGAGAATTACAAAAGTGAACAGAAGACCTTAAACGGAATCAGTAAATACCATCCTAAGCAATAAATAGCTTCGTGAATCCTGATGGCTGCAATCCCTTAAGTGAACTCTCAAGGGAAAAATAGCAGCCAATTACAAACTAATAAAGACAGAAAATGTAGATGCAAAGGTTATAGTTTTAAATAGCTCTTTAAAAATCCTATTGTAAAATAGCATTTCCTTGCATGGAGAGTTTTCCATGTGTATAATGAAAGGAGAGTTGAGGGCAAGTCTGTTGTGGGGAGGGTTGTTTTACTAATATTGTACAATATGGGCCTTAAGTTCAAGTAAATTATCATCATGCAGAAAGGTCCCAATACAGACAATTCCAGGGGACATGAGTGAGTTGGGAATAAAACAGGGTATAGAAAAGTGAATATGATGATTAAAAACTGTCATAATTTAACACACACACACACAATAAGCAACCCACACATCGTTTATGAAAGTGCAGGGAAATTCGCTTTGACTGTGCCCTCCAGCTGTACATCAGCAGTAAGGAGAGCAAAGCGCCCATTCCAGGCACGTTAGAATATGTCCTCTGTTCATACACTTAAACTTTTGAGAAGCTAGTGGACAGAAATTGTATAAAATAACAGAAAAGCCTTTGTGCCTCAGAAATGTTTGGTACAGTATTCTGTGTTTAGTAAGGAAGAATAATTAAATAAATGATGATTCGTCCATAGGCCCAGGTGTGACAGTGTGAGATCAAGGGTTTCAGATAAGCAGGGTGAGGATTGTTGAAAACGTTGAGTCAAAAGAGAAGGCTGTGAGCTCCCACATGTGCAGCACGGTGTAACTGTGAGGGGTTACGTTTAAAATAATTGTATTGAGAAATACAAAATTAAGGGGTGGGTGCTGGAAAAGCCATTCAAGTGTTAGGAACACTCGTTGCAATTCAGAAGGCCTGAGTTCAGTTCCCAGAACCCACATAGAGTGGTTCACAACTGCATGTAACTACAGCTCTGAGGAATCCAGTGCCCTCTTCTGGTTTCCATGAGAACACTGCACACATACACATACACACAGGATAAAAATAAAATGGAGTTTTAAAAATATTACTGAACAAGCATGTTTTTGGAAATGAAATTGAAGTAGTTTCTATTTAATCATTTTGTTTATATTCTTCAACTACTAAACAGTAGCTATTATTCGCTATATTAATATCTACGTTTCTATTTATCTTATAGTTAAAGATATGCATATATTATGACATGGTACAAAAATTTACTTGTTTTTCCCCCAAATCTTTGAGTAGTAACTTGAAGTTGTACATTTTATGAGAAGGTAACTAGGAATTAAGATCAGTATTATTAAAACCTTTGGAATTGCTTTCAAATTGATTCTACTTCAGAGTGGGGGTAATAGTCAAGTCACTAGGTTGCTCACCTATTTCCAAGGACCGGGCCATCCATAACTATGACTCATTTGCAATTGAATTCAGGGCAGTTCTTGCTTGTTCTTAGAGCTCTAAGTGCTTTACAAGGTCCACAGTCCTCCTCAGACATGCAATTTCCTCAAGAAAATGGATGGCATTAAGCTAGCAGGCAAGTTCGTGAATGGTCTCGAAAGTTATTAAGTGGACAGAAATATAGATTTATGGGTTGAAGCTTTTAAAGTGCAATGCAGGTCATAGGAATAAAATAAGAGCTAACATGGGACCATCTATGCCTTAATCTTTCATAGAGTTGGGAGAGGGCTTATTGTTTTCAGTTTCTAGAAGACTAGTTACAACCATGGGCTAAGTACCACTTTCTCTTTTACGATCCCTGGCTAGGAGCTACTTAGGAATGGAGAGAACGGTAGGAGAGCACCAGATGTGGAGCAAAAGATGACCACAGGGTGGGGGGGGTGTATGTGAAAAAATTGTTATGTGCATGTGTGAAAATGTAATAAAATCATTATTGTGTATAATTACTACATATGAACAAGAACATTACAGACACGATTGTGAAGGAGTTGCATGAGTTAAAGCCTCTTTGACACTTTAAAAACAGCTGATATGTTTGCTCCCAGGCCCCCTCATTTGCAATGACTACTTGTAGCTTAACTTTCTAGATTTGCTAACCCCTATGTTATGACACTTTAAAAGTGCCATCCTTGCTCTGTTCCAAGAGATCTAGGCATGGTGGCTGCACACAAGGTCCCTGGGCCTGGGCAAAGAGTGCTCTTTGCTCTGCCCCTGGTCAGGATGATTTAAAAAAATAATAATGATGATGAGCTTTATAATACTTAGACTATATAATCCACATAGTATAAGAACATGCAGAGTTTTTTCACTGGTCTCCTTTAAAGTTATTTCTTTTGTTCTCCATTCCTACCACACATTCGGTACCCTCTAGATGGACTGCCCTTATAAAACTCGTCCAACATCTTGCGGGGGTGGGGGTGGGGGGCGACAAGAACCTCTCACTGATTCCCAAAGGCAGATATCAAATAGACCAAGAGGGAGATGGCGATGTTCTGGGAACAACTGGTCCCGGTCGCGTGCATAGCCTGGTGGTAATGGAGACTAATGATGTCCATGATGCCTTGAGTGCTTGAAGAAACTGGGGTGGGGCAGGCGACTGTGTGATGCGCATTGGGCCCTTCCAACTTTTAATAGCAAAGATTCTGTTTTTGTTTTCCTTTGGACTTCATTGCATTCTTTCTCATGCTCTTTTCATTCCAAGATTCAGTCCCAAGACAGAATTATGGTACTTCACCAGCTGTTGTGTCAGGTAGGAAAACTCTAATTCCTTTCAGACTCTATTGGAGGGGAGAGATGGATCTTGCCTGGTTTTCTCTGAAGCTCTTCAAAGCAGTGGTTCTCAACAGGGGAGGGCATAAGAAGTTTGCATTCCCTTATGCCGAGGGGTTGGACATGTGGTTATGAGTCTATGACTATAGCAATCTGACTTTATGTCTGGAAAATACATATCCTGTCTCTACAATGAAAAGTAAGATCTCAAAGACACTTTGCCCTGAAAGATACACAGAAGATTTAGTCATACGTTCTGTGTATCGGTGGGTGTCACTGTTTGGCAAGGTCGCCAGAATTTCTGAAGAGAGCATGTCTTGCCAAAGGGGACAGAGAAGCACTGCTGTGGGGAGCAGAATCCCTCAGAAGTCACAAAGTTGTCCCATGTGCTTGCTTGGCTCCCAGGACAGGGTCTGAGATGTACACGCAAATCATTTGTTGAATGAATCAAACCTTTAATTTTTCAAGATTTATATTTGGGATATCAGAAGTGACCCTTGTGATATTCCATTTCACAGCAAGGTAGCAGAGGTGGCCTTGAGGACACATGAGGCTCTTTGGCATGCAGTTAGCAATATTTACTTTATTTTATAATATTTAATGGTACAATTTGGAGTTGAGTATACATGTGTAAAGAAGTTGGTTCTTTAACAACAAAAACAAAAAATAAAACCAAAAAAACAAACAAACAAACAAAAAAAAAACTCTGAACTGCATAGATACTATGCTTTCATCCTAACTTCCACTTTTGGTTTGTTGCAAAGAGAAAAATGAACAAAATTATTAATTTTTGTTGATTTGTTTTAACTAACTGATGAGTGGTATGAAGCATGGGGAGCTTGGAACTCTTTGACCCTTTGGTTTGTTAGGTGGTTAGAAATATTCACACGAGGCTAAGCTGGTCATTGGAAATAGTGCATGAAACATTGTTCAGGAAGTGTCCCAAAGAGCCTGGAGACAATTGAATCTGGCAATCAGCTAGTGGCCTTCAGTGGAGAGCAACCCACTCAAGGCCACTGCACTTCCCTGATACAGTTTCTGAAGAGTAGTGCTTCCTCCTGTCCCATGGATTTCTTTGGTTATGCCTGTGGCTGTACATTCATCTCAGAGCCATATGAATGCCATCATTGAAGAGCAAAGAGTAGGCTTTCAACTGGACATCACTTGGGTACTCTTGTTCTCCACGGATTGCCATTCATTAAAATGTCATGTGCCTGTCTTCTCCCCTCCCCCATATATGACCTATCATATTTTAATGTTTCTTTTGTGTTTAAAACACGTGGCACTGTAGAGGACACTTGGTTTGGTATGTATAGCTTTTACTTTCTTTAACCTTTGGCCTCTTTAACAGCAGGCTCATGCTCCCCACAGTTTTCTAACATTAGTAATAACAAATAATCCCTCAACCAAACATTCTTTCACCTTTAAGAACATAGCATATGCTGGGTATGGTGGCACACACCCTTAATCCAAAAATCCAAAAGGCAGAGGTAGGCAAATCTCTATGAATTCAAGGACAGCCTGGTCTACATATTGAGTTCTTGTCATCTATATGGTGAGATTTTGTGTGTGTGTGTGTGTGTGTGTTTGTTTCTGTGTGTGTGTTTGTATAAGTGTGTGTCATAATGGATATAATAAGATACTAACACACATACATACACATATCACAATGAAAATTGCAAGCCAATTGTCAGAATTGTTTATTTATGATCATAGGTCTCTGCTATACAAATCCATCTTAGCAAGAAACAGTGCTTAACCTCAAGAGTTCCCATCTGATTCCACTGAAACTCTCAAGTAGATAGATAACTTGTTAAACATAATACTTTACAAAATTTAAGCATATGGGTGTATGTTTGCAGAATAAGAAATAAAGCCATGGAGGAAAATTAAAATCCAAAATATGGAGTTGTAATTTGACTCAGTCACTAGACGCTTGCAGGAGGCCCTTAGTTCAATCCCATAGCACCCACATAGAAAAAGCCAGACACACAGCAATACCCGCACTGCAGAGGCAGAGACCAGCCAATTTAGCCTAATAGGTAAGACCCAAACCCAATTAAATACCCGCCCTCAATAAAATATGGGGATGGCTCCAGAGGGAGGGATGGCATCCAAGGTTCCTTTCCCTACTTCCATATCATGTGCATACACACATACCTTCACCTGTACAAATGTACACACATACAAACATGTAACAACCATACATGCATGAAAAGCCAATATGATATGTGGTCAATGAAAGATATATTAAGTTGTCAGTAGTTGAGTACAAAGGAAGGGATCAATAGAACATTGATGGGAGATGTCATTCTGTAAATATGGTCAATGAATAAAGCACTGTTGGCCAATAGGAAAGCAAGATAGGCGGGACTAGGAGACAAGGAGGAGAGAGGAAGTAGTAGGGAGGAGTCAAGATGGAGGACAGAGAGAGAAGAATGCCGGGGTCTCTCTCTGGTAAGATGAGACCACGTGGAAATACTTAGATTAATAGAAATGAGTTAATATTTAAGACAGAGCTAGCCAATGAGAAACTATAACTGCCCTACAGCTTTATATCTAATACAGCATCTCTGTGTGTTATTTGGAGCTGGCATGGTGGTGGGACCAGACCAGTGGGAAAAAACACATTTTGGACCATTTTACACTTGGTTTCTCCTTATAAGATTTGGACACTGGTTGGACATATTGCCCAGTTGTACTCTCCTTAGGCTTATTTTTACATAGCAATAGATGTGTTTTCTAAGATGGTCACTAACTGGCATATAAACAGTTTCATTGACTTTTGAAAAATTGCATATCTTTTATCCAACTATTGACCATATTGGGAAAGCAAACTGAGCCTGATGAGGTATTAAATCTTTCCCAACTATCCAAATGTGTCAGTATCAAGTGATTTAGATAATCAGCTTCTGCTAATATATGAGCCAACCAAATTTCTCTAATATATTGGAACTTAAGATGGTAACTTAATTATCCATGGAAATGTAATCTATTCTGTTTTCATTCAACTGGTATTTTAAACATTACCAAACTGTTTCTAAGTACTATGCTAAGCATTAAAGATGTTAATATAAATAGAAAGTCCATCCTTATTAAAATATATCAGCATCATAGCCCAATTTGATTTTGCTGTTTCTTGCAGTGTTACTTGTGATTACATAAATGTTATAGAGGATTAAGAATATAGAAAGAAGATCTGAGACACAGAGGAATAGAGAGAATTTGGAGAAGGATCAGTAAGGCTGAATAGTTTACCAGATAGAATATAGTGAGGAGTCTATTAGGTATATAGTACAGGATGCATCAACTCTTAGAATGGGAAACAGTATGAGAGTATTGAATGACAACAAGTCCTTTCAAATTTGAGTATAAAATATGACTTTGACATATTTCAAAGCTAGATCTGTGTGTAAGGACTCTTTGTTCTTTCAACCATGTATCATCTTGTCTTTTATTTATTGAATTGCTGTTGACAGCATACTATGTGCTAACTTATGGTAGATGTGCACAGAGACTAGAAGTCATTAGGAAAAGAAGACATTAGTTATGAACATTTTACTCCAACAAAATAAATGCCCTATTATTATTTTTTCACTTTAGTTCTAAAGCAACTTGTATCATTTTCAGTTGTGAATACTTGGGGGAAATTACTGAACTTTCTGTAGTTCATTATTTCTCTGGGGAAATACTAACCACATAAGATGGTTGTAAGTATCGATTAAATTAAGCCATATACTCTGCTTAGATTAGATCCTGGCATAAACTGTTTAAATAGGGTTCACTAAAGCCACACTAATCATTATTGGCACAATATATTATGTTAGTACAAGAAAGAACAATGGACATAAACGAGCAGAGGTTAGAGAAAGGCCCCAGGGAAAGAAGAATTCTCTAAATGTAGAAACAAAGACACATGGGAATTACCTAAGTAAAAAATGAAAAACAAAACAAATAAAACCAAACCAAACCAAACCAACCAACCAAACAACAACAACAGAGCTGGAAGTTTCAGACCAAGAAAGCAACTTGTGCAAAGGCTTCTAAGAGCAGAGGATGGAAAGATTGGGAAACTACAGATGGGTTAGCAGGATAACAATACATGTAGAGAGAAGTAAGTAAGCTATAAGAGTATCCTCAGGTATGGTAACTTGACCTCTATCCCGATGACAATGGAAATGTTTAGAGGTGGAGGATGATGTCATCACTGTGCTTATAGGTTGGAGAATGTCCAGGAATCTGGCAAAACCAGAAATAGACAAATGCACTGAAGAATCTAAGAAAGAAACCATGGTGGCAAGTAGTCACATTCTGGAAATGACCTTGACATTGAATGCTATTAAGTTTGTGTTAATTGAAGAGGATAGGATACCCTGAAAGTTAAGAAAAAAAAAAAAAACAATGAGCACAGATCTTCAGCTCCAACAACTCAGTGGCCCGACCCTGCCACTATTAGGAACTAAACCAAAGGAGGATCATGTGTGCTGGGGAGAAGGATGATTTCTCTTCTGAGTGTGTTAACTTTCAGATGTCTGTCACACATGCCAGTGGACAGTTTAATACCTGTTTCAGTGTGTGTTTCTAAACACTGTCTTTACATGGAGGTGGGACTTGGAGTTACCGGCATAGAATTTAGGCCTTGTTACCAGGATGAATGTGTTTGCAGTCAGGAAAAGTAGGCAGAAGCCTGGGTTTTAAAAAAGGAGCAGACAATGAATCTAGAATGAAGGTTGGAAAGGGCACCATGTGATAGATGAAAAGTGAAAGAGAGGAGGAAGTTTCAGACATGTAAAAAGAGAGATATGTAAAAGTGCATGAGTCTTAAAAGCTAGCCATTGGATTTTATTAAACCTCATCACTAGTGAGGCTGGAGAAGGATCAGCAGTTTAGAGCACTTGCTGCTGATGCAGAGAGCCTGTTTCATTCCCAGAATCTTTTCCAGGCAGCTCACACCATCTAAAACTCCAGTTCCAAGGGACC